CTAATGGATGCTGTGCTGCCTTAAAATCTCAGCCTTGGTTCCCAAGGCCTATAAAAACTAAGGAGGTGAGGCAAATGGTGAATACTACAGCTCCTTGGGGAGTCTGTGCAGTGAGCATTATCACCTTCTCATCAAAATGTAAAACCCAGCTCTCTTCCTCATTAGTCTCTTGTTCTTAAAATAATGATTGTAAAACGACCACAGCTGGCCTCAAAGCCGAGTAGAGTGGGGAAGGCACACTGCTGTCTGATTTTCTCACTTGGAAATGGGTGTTAATGGAGAAAAGGTCAAAATGAACAGTGAAAGGGGTGTCAGCCCTTTTGAGGAGGTGCTGGCCATGGTTTTAACATGCACGGGAAAAATGAGCTGAAAGAGATGCTGCACAGTAGTTAACCCAGTCATTTTTATTAGCAAGTACATGTTGGCTTTGGTACCTGTTACTTCTGAGTGTTGATGCTTACATCCTGCTTTTTCCCTTGGTATTTCAAACCAAATAGGCCCTTTCTTTTCCTTAAAAAACTTCTTGTCAAAGGCTTACACTCACTGGATAGCAGGGGCCTAAGAACTGATTTGTGAATTTGGGCCTAGGACACTATCTGCTCTGGAGGCAGGATGGCTGAATAAGACCTGTATTTCTTAACACTTCAAAACCCACACTGATTAGTGCTGACTATGCAGTTACAAGATTCACTTCTATGAGAAGAGAATTAGCTCTGAGATAATCAGCAACATGTGTTTGTTTCTTAAGCTAAGGTATAATGAATACTCAGTGAACCATGCTGTTTTCAAAGAGATACAATTGTATCCTAGATCCAGTGGAGCAGGAGAAAAAAAAAACCCAAAACTTTCTCACAAAACTCTTTCATGTTAACTTAAAAATCCTGCAAAATCATGTCAGAACTACTTTATGAATACTTGATCAGCTTCTTCAAGTATTTCTCACTAGACAGAGCCTTTTACAATCATTTCTTTTAATAACAAGATTATCTATATTAAAAGGTGTGATTTTGTCTCATATCTCGCAAGAGAGTTTAGCTGCGAGTGCAAGTTATAGCCATTTGTTTGAATTTAGTAGACAAGGTTGGACTATGACGTGGCCAGGGTTAACTACAGGTTCTGATAAAAACAGGCAATTATCAGATGAACTCCCAGGAGTTCCTGGCCATTTAAACTGGTACCAACCATTTCTCCTGTCCAGTAAAGCAAAGAGAAGGACATACCACAGAAAAGGAGCACAAAACTCCTAGTTTGCACCTACTAAAGTTTTAACAGGCTAGAGAGGTATCTCTCAGCTGCCCAGTCATTACACTATGCATTCCCTTAGACCTAGAGACAAGGAAATCCCCTCTAGCCTAGGTCCAAATATCCCCAGCACAAAGGGTACATTCTCTCAGTCCTCACATACAACACATTAAGCATCACTTGTGCATGTTAAACACCGTTTTATATTCCACAGTTGCGCTACATTCCATCACACAAGCAGGATGCAGGTTCTCCCTTACCCTTTCTAAGCATTTTGCAAGTCCGAAAGTTATTAGTATTTGGAAAAAAAATCATCAAGATCTTCTCCTGTTCTTCCAAGTTGTTTGTCCCCTTGTACTGTCACTCTCCAGCAGTAACTGGAGACATATTCTCTAGGTGCTGCAGGTTTTTGCAGCTCCAAAATTCAGCTGATCTAGTAGGAATGACCTGCTCTGCAGACATCAGTTTCTCAGGCTGGGATGAAATAGAGGACATGATCAAAGGCAGAGATGGACCTGCAACACTGCAAGAGGTGGGAGGGGGGGGTTCAAACATGAGAGCATGCGAAAATACAAGATCATGTAGTAGTTGCGTTTGGCAAGTCCATACATGGCTTCTATCCCTTTTGCCTACAAACTTGCACGGACCAGTGGGGGAAGGTTGTTGCCAAAGGGGAAAAGAAAATCCCTGGTTTTGCCCCCACCTCCACCTGACCAAACCTCCTTGTTTCTTCCTGGGGAAAGTCTGCTGCTTTTGCCCACTGGCAGCAGGGATACGTCAACGACAAGCCGCAGAGTGGGAGAGGGTAGTACGGCAAAGCAGAACTCCCTTCAAGGTCTGCGAGCTGGCAGAGGTTACCTGAAAGAAATAGCACAAAAGTCCTTAGGAACAAAGGTGCTTAGGAAGATCCATTTTAATTCTAGGCTCTCCTGGCAGCAGCTGCTCTAGAGAGCAACACCATGCAGGAAGAAGAGCCCAAGAAAACAGGCATTCTAGGCAGGTCACCTTCACCAACACGTAGTCCCCTGGCTGGGCCCTGACCAGAGCTTTGCAGTCTGCAGCATCCTCTATCTCAGCATCAGGGAAGATCACCTTGATGTTGCCATCGTTCCTCCCACACAGCTCGGAGGTAGAGCGCTTGCTGGGCTGGAAGGAGGATAGGGAACATTACCTGAGCAGCAATAATTCT